GCGGCGCTGATGTTTTTGATTTCTCTACAGAATATGTTGCTCCTCGTTTTCACAGCATTCTGAATGTAAGTTTTCTCTTTTTATTTATTTATTTTTATTTATTTTTATTTATTTATTTATTTTTATTTTTCTTTGTTTGGTTCTGGCAGATCCTTTGTTGGCTTCTGTATTTTTTTTTGTTTTCATACTGCGGCGCTTGCTTTCCTAGTTGAGTACCAGTTTTGTTTTTCTTGTTTTTGTTCGTTTCTGTATTTATTGTAAATTCATTTGATATTTTGAATTTAATTTAATTTAATTTTATTTTTTAATTTAATTTCTTCTGAGTTTTTGAATTGAATTATATTTCACTTTTTGAATACAATCTTTTTTCAGCTTTTTGTTCTATATTTCAGTTCTGTGGATCATGAACAGTTTCAGTTTTTTGAATTATTTTTTTTGAAAAAAAAAAAATTTGAATTTTTTTTATATTTTTAATTTTATTTTATTTCAAGTTTTTGAATTTCTTTTTCAATTTCAGGTTAACCCTGTTATGAGGACTTTCGTTTCCTCTGGCACCTTCACCTACGACCGTTTCCGCTTCGGCGGTGAGCAGCAGAAACACGAAAAAATATTTCAAGAAATATGAATATAATATTAATATTATTTAATATTATATGAATATAACATTCATATTATTTAATATTTTATGAATATAACATTTATATTCTTTATATTCTTTTCGTGTTTGCATGCTCTTTGTTTATGTTTACTGAATTAGCTGCAAAGGATCAACTTGTTCATAGGTTGACGGTTTCAAAAAATTCAAAAAAATTTTTGTGAATTTCTTTGATTATAGCTTGAAAACAACGAGTTTTTTTGTTATTTTTGTGGATTATTTGTGATATATTTGTTTATTTTCGTCTTTTTTTTTGTGTTTTTTGTTTGTTTTCAGGTGAAGTCTCGGGAAAGCTAGATGCCTCTGGAATGAAGTATGCATTGGGCGCTTCCTACACCGCACCGACGCCCGGGCTGAAGGGAGGCAGTTGGATGGCAGCAGTGAAGACGTAAGCTTTTGTTTATGAATATTTTCTTTTTTAAACTCCTGAAATTAAATTCTTAATACTAGTTCTTTGAAATATTTATACATATATCTATATCTACGGCACAAAGTTGGTTCCTGGTGTTGCACGTCCGTGTCAGTCGCACCCGCGCACCTATGCACACATACACCTGAAATTCAAAAATTTTTTTTTGTGTTTTTGTATTTATTTGTTTACAGGGCTCCAGCAGGCAGCATGATGTTTGGAAAGATAATTGGGAGTGTGAATGGAAGGTCTTTGGATGGCCGCGGCGCAGAACTTGCTGCTGAAATTGAATACAGTATTCCTGAGAATAAGAGCCACATTACTTTCGGTGGGCTTTGGTATATGAACGACGAGAAGGACACAGCGATCAAGTCAAAGATATCGCAGAATGGACTTCTTGCTGTTGCAGTTACACACAAACTCTGCAACTACCTGCACGCCACTGTCGGCACGCAGCTCGATGTATCCAAAGGCCAGAACGCAGAGAATGTGAAATACGGCGTCAAGATCGATGTCATTGCATAAGCTGTTGAGGTGGTGTTGCTGTTGTTACATGCAATGCATGCACTGCATGCAGTGCATGCATTGCATGTAGTGCATGCATTGCATGCAACAACAGGAGACAAAAAACAAAGACACATTCCAGCTGAAAGAATGAAACAAGAAACCTGCTGCCTCGTTGCAGAGCCGAACCCTCTTGAACCGACTATTGCTGCTGCTGCTGCTGCTGCTGCTGCTTCGTTTGTCAGCGGCTGCAGCCTGCAGCAAAGCTCGTAAGAGGGAATAAAAATCCCTTTTATTCACCTTCTGCTGAAGTT